AGCAACGAAAGACGCAGGACATAAAATCTTAGGATTGCCCTAATGATTTCCTAGTCCAACTCCACTTGCAAGACATCAACTATTCTGCCAACTTTCTTTCCAAACCTCACTTTGTCAAGATTACTTAGACTATTCCAAGCAGTAACCAAGTCTTTTACACAAGGTCTTTTGGTTTGCATAGAGAATCCATCCTTGTGTGACTTGTTCCTCTTGGATAATGGCGGGCATTGTAACTCTAAATTCACCATTTTCCTCTTGTTGATTTTTTTTTCTCCAAAGAATTCATGTGTAAAATAATCAATTACCTATTTATTAAAGAAAAGAAAAAGGAAAGTTAATAAATTTTATACCTCTTAGTCGAATTCCACACCTAAGAAATACAAAACATTGTTTAAAAATAAAATACTCCCTACGTGTCCTATGTATAAGGTTTCTAAACTTTGAAGGTGGTTTACTAGGCTGGTTGTCCTATGGTTAAATTTTATCTAAGTCCATTACATGCGGTTTCCTAGTAGATCCTATACGATTAGGCTTTTTCAACTGCTAACTTCCATAAGTCAACAATTATTGATTCTCATAAAGTCAACAATTGCGAACTTCTACAAAGTTACAAGAGGCATTTCATGACCTAATATAGCAGCAGCATTATGGCTGTCAAGTCATATTAACCCACAAAATAACTTAAAAGAGATAAATCCCACTTTACAAGGAAAGCATTGCGCTTTTCATTGTTCCATGAGTTATCCATCTATCTAGAGGTCGGGTTCACCACATCAAGTACAAAATGATATGCAAGTGAGATGTGTGAGTGAGTATATACATAAAATTAACATATGAAAATAACAAAAATATAAAATAACGAAATAAAAACTTACAAGGTATTCCATGTCACCTACAAAACAAAAGTTAGTAATTGAAAAACTCCAAAATTAAAGTATAAATGGCTTGACCCCTCAAGGTCCCCAATGGAATCGCCAAACTGTTGACGTGTCAAAATGGATGGAGTCGCCATCTATGCAAATGAGGTGGGATAGATCACATAGAAATTGATTAGACTCGGAGGGTCGGTTAAGCGTGGAGAAGGTGTTAGGCACCCCACAACTTCCATATAATAGGGTTACCACATACTTTAATTTTGGGGACTTTTTAATTTTATATCAAAATAATAATTTCCAAAATAAACCAAAAAAAAAAGAAAAAAGAAAAAAGAAAAATCACTTAAATAGAAAATCTATCATTTACCTTTTGTTTCTTCATTTCAGTTTTTTTTTTTTCCTCTTTTTTTTTTTGTTTTTACTAGGGGTGTTCACATTCGATCTAATCCGATTGATCTGACTTAAATTGATCTAATCCAATAAAAAACTGAACCAAACCGATATAAAATTGGGTTGGTTTGGATTATAAAATTTTAAAACCGATATAATTCGTTTGGTTTGTAATTTTACCTTCAAACTGCCTGAACCGCCCGATTACAAAATAAAATCCGATTACACAATAATTTAATTAAATAATATAGTATTTTTTTTGTAATATTTTAAATTTTTTTCTTATTTTATAAGA